ATGGATTCAGTATTCAGCATTTTTCTTTTATCCAGTTTTAACTGGATTTCTACCTATTGTAATTGCATCATCATTTAGTATCTTAGCTTATCATAATGTTCGTCATATAGTCCGACGACAATTACCGATTGTTCGTCGTAAACTAGATCAACAAATGACAGCAATGGTACTTATGCGTGTAATAGTCTTTGTTTGTTTGGCATCACCTTATAGTGGTTATCGTATTTATGTAACTAACTTTCCTACATCAAGAAGTATGCCTATGGCATATGCAGTTGGTCGATTGACTCAAGCAATTCTTCTTTCTATCAACATTATAAATTATATGGTAAAATTATTTTCCTTTCTAATTTATATATGTAAGGTTTTGACTTATTTTAGATCAGCTCTTATCTTTTTCTAATGTTTTCATCGCGTTTTCGTCGTCAAGTGAAATTTGTTTTAGTAAAAAAATGTTGGCAACAATGGAAATATTGTTGTTGCTGCATAAATAATCGAATTGAACCTGAGAACAACATTGAAATACATAACATACAAATGGAATCCGAAGAAAATATCTAACTGTTCACTAAATAAATATATTAATTCTCATATTCTCAATAATAAAACTTGAACTTTTTTTTTTATTTTGTTCATCGATTCATATTCTTTCTGTAGTTTTATAAATATAAAGTATGTACACCCACACCCTAACTGATAAAATTATTTATAGTGAAATGTTATTATCTGTAAATCTCATTTGTTTATTTATAAAATGTCAAGCATTATATTTAAAGCTTTTAATCAGAATTTTGAGAATATGAATGGAATTAAATGAATGATCAATTTAAAATTGTCGCATTGTTTGATTTATTTTATAGCGAGATTGTAATGTTTATTGAGAAGAAAATGAACACTAATATCTTAAAAAGCTACTGTCAATGTATTGCGCAGATGAATTAGAACGCGTTCAATAAGTGCACTATTGTTTAATTAAATAGTTTGATGAGATACTTTTTTGACATGAAAGATTAATATACATTCTCTTTTTATTATTTATGTGTCGATAGTGCAGAGAAAAAACACAGTTGCCTTTTCTTTTTTTTTTTTTTTTTTTGACATATTAGTTTATTGATCCCATAAGGGTTATCAAGATATACATTCATAAAAAAAAAGTGAATTAAATTAGTTACAATTAGATCTTTGTCACACCTCCTGCGACGTATTTTGATCTTAAGACATTAAACATGCAAGAAGAGAAGAGAAATCGAAAGTAGTGAATCATTATGAGCGTGTTATAGACATACATTCGTGAAGCTATATAGCTATATATAACTTAACAGTAGAGAAGTAGAAAGTTTGGTATTATATAAATAATAGAAAGAGAAAAGAAAAGAAGGGTTAAAGGTTAAAGGTTAAAAAGAGAAAGACGTGAGAGAGAGAAAAAAAAATAAAATAAACAACAGATAATATAATATATTATTATGATGGTTCAATATATTTTTTAAT